AGCATATAAATCTATAGGGGAAGGAAGGAAGGGTAGGGGTCGTCCTCGAAAGGGTTGGAGAGAGGGGGTAAAGGAGGTTTTGTGGGCGAGGGGCTTGGACTTCCAGCAAGCGTGCGTGAGCGTGTTAGATAGGAGTGAATGGAGACGAATGATACTTGGGACCTGACGATCTGTTGGAGTGTGAGCAGGGTAACATTTAGTGAAGGGATTCAGGGAAACCGGTTATTTTCATATAGTCGGACTTGAGTCCTGGAAATGGGAAGTACAATGCCTGCACTTTAAAGGAGGGGTTTGGGATATTGGCAGTTTAGAGGGATATGTTGTGTATCTTTATACATATATGCTTCTAAACTGTTGTATTCTGAGCACCTCTGCAAAAACAGTGATAATGTGTGAGTGTGGTGAAAGTGTTGAATGATGATGAAAGTATTTTCTTTTTGGGGATTTTCTTTCTTTTTTGGGTCACCCTGCCTCGGTGGGAGACGGCCGACTTGTTGGAAAAAAAAAAAAAAAAAAATCTATAAATCCAAGATACCATGAATCATAATGAACAACTGTCAAATGAAGAAACAGAAGAATGGATGGGGACTCAAACCATGGTCTATGCAAGTAGCAGGCCCAATGCTGTACCATTCAGCCACAAGGGTTCAAACAGGATGATTTTACAACCAGCCCTGCTGGACTGGCTGTATCAGCCACCTTCATCTGTGATGCTACGGTCATCTCACACCCCCACCACTTTCATGGCACATCTAGTCTCGTGTTCCTTAAAGCCATATAGTATATACACCCAGTCTCGTGCTCCTTAAAGCCATATAGTATATACACTCAAGATAAATTGTAATGAAGAATTGTCAAATGAATTAACAGAAAAATGGATGGGAACTCAAACCATGGCCTGTGCAAGTAGCAGGCCCAGTGCTGTAACATTCAGCTTGTTTCTCACATGTTAAGAACTATATCCATTTCGTCAGCTGGTCTTCTCCAAAAGTTAACATTCCCTCTTCATAGCTTCGCATAACAATTTTAGCTCTGGCTTTCTTTTAGTAAATGCCTGCCTCTCTCAGTAGAGTGTCAAATGCTCTGATCAATCTCATCTCCTCCTTCCCCACCACCTTGACCTGACTTTCTACCCCCTTTTTTTTAGTCTCTTACAATTTCACAATACTCCAGGATGGACTAAAATGTAAATTCAGTTTTTACTTATAATTTAGGGGTTTTATGATCAAACAGTATACAGTAGGGCCCCAATTATTCGGCAGGTTAGGTTCCAGGCTACTGCTGGAAAGCAGAACACCATTTTTTCCACTTTGAGAGGTGAGTTTTATTTGTAGGAAGTCAGGTTTGGTAAGTATGGAAACCAGCCAGGGAAGCCCTCCCCACCCCACCCACACATAATGTACTATGATATTTAACCCTTTGACTGTTTCAGTCGTATATACATATACGTCTTACGAGCCACCGTGTTTGACGTATACTCAAAAATTCTAGCAGCTTCAAATCAAGCAGGAGAAAGCGGGTAGGCCCACATGTGAGAGAATTGGTCTGTGTGGTCAGTGTGCACCACATAAAAAAAATCCTGCAGCACGCAGTGCATGAGAAAAAAAAAACTCACAGTTTTTTTGGATTAAAACGCTGACTTTGTGGTGTATTTTCGTATGGTATTTATGGTTGTATTCTCGTTTTCTTGGTCTCATTTGATAGAATGGAAAACATAGAAATAGAGGTGATTTTGATTGGTTTTACTATGAAAAGAACCTTGAAATGGAGCTCAAAGTAGGGGAAATGTTTGATTTTTGCTGATGTTCAAAAGTAAACAAATGATGTCATTGTCCAATAAATGTCCAACTAGCCATTCTAATATGCAGTCATGAATGGGTTGACATTATTTATACTACAATTATTACAATATTGCAGTAGTCTGCATAACAGTAAATCTGCTATTTTTTGTTGGAATAAAAATTCAAAATAGAAAGCAAGAGTAATATCAGAGGGGCCTAGAGACATGACGGATGAACAAAGAAAATATTATTTAAGAGCCAGGAATGTCTGCATTGTTCATTCTGGACCCTATTTTGAAATTGGCATATTTTTTAATCTGCGTGAAATTGGCCAAATTGCAAATTTCTGACCACATTATTGGGTAGTTGAAATCGGTAAATGCGCAGTTTCTTCTACTCAGTCGATAGAACAAATAGAGTTCTAAAGAAATAGCTATGAGTTTAGTTGACTGGAACAATGGAACTAGCTGAAAATTTGGCTCAAAGTGGGCAAAACTGCCGATTCATAAATATCACTGAGGTCGCTAACTTCGCCAGAGTGTAATTCCGTAAGTTTTCCATCAAATTTTTTTTTTTGGTGTCATTACCATTGGGAAAAGATTTTCTATCATTTCATAAGAATTTTTTTTTTTTTCAAAAATTTTCAACACCAGAAGACACCTCAGAATTTGGGGTTTCAACAGTCAAGGGGTTAATTATAGCTCCCCAGAGTGATAAAATACATATACAGCACATTCATTAATTACCTTGAAATATTTGTAGTCTTAATGTAGGGTGAGAGGTGAGTTTTATTTCTAGGAGTCAGGTTTGGGAAGTATGGAATCCAGTCAGGGAAGCCATCCCCACCTCACCCACACGTAATGTACTACGATATTTAATTAAAACTCCCCAAAGCGATAAAATACATAAACAGCACATTCATTACTTACCTTAAAATATTTATAGTCTTAATGTAGGTGAGATGTGAGTTTTATTTGTAGAAAGTCAGGTTTGGGAAGTATGGAATCCAGCCAGGGAAGCCATCCCCACCCTACCCATACGTAATGTAAACAAACCAGATGAACGCATCTGGTTTTCATCACTTTACATTGTGTACAAATTGTCTCTATGTTGATACAGTAGAATAAATAAAGAGAAACACTACCATTCTCATGTAACATTATTTTTAGAAGAAATGACACCCTGAGTGAAGGCATACTTAGGTACAGGTACACATACGTTTAATTATCAGTTATAATGATAATGTAGGTATGTAGTCTGCCTGGGCTACATACCTACACCTACCTACATAGCTACACGATATTTTATGTGGCCCAGAGCCATATTATTACCATCGACATACCATGTTCACTGAGTTTAATCATTTCTAACAACTACCTTTAGATGCCATCATAAACAAAGGGAGAAGTAATGAATAACTCAAGCCGAGAACTGTAAACAAAAGCGTTATGTATTAAGGGGAGCGATGTAATGTTTTCCCTCCGCCCGGCTACTACACCTCCATAGTATATAAACATAAAATGTTTATATGCTATGTAACGTGTTTCTTATATAATTTTGAAGAAAATATCATAGATGGATTAATGAAAATGTCTATACAGTGGTCCCCTGGCTTACGATATTATTTCATTCCAGAAGTATGTTCAGGTGCCATTACTGAACGAATTTGTTCCCATAAGGAATATTGTGAATTAGATTAGTCCATTTCAGAACCCCAAACATACACGTACAAACGCACCTTCATAAATACACTTACATAATTGGTCGCATTGGGAGCTGATCGTAAAGCGGGGGTCCACTGTATTAACGTAAAGTAAGACATTTAATGCCCAAGAGTGATTATTACTGATATTACGTAATGTTTTTCTTCCACCCGGCAACAACCCCTCCACAGCACATAAACAACATGTTTATATGCTATGTAACATATTTCTTATATAATTTTGAAGAAAATATCATAGATGAATTAATGAAAATGTCTATATTGACGTAAAATTAGACATTTAATGTGACCAAGAGTGATTATTATTACATAATAGAGAGATGTGCTCATGGAGAATGTAAACAAACCAGGTGGCACGTGCCATATTTGAAAGACCGCTTGCCGTATAGCAAGTTTTGGTCACAATTTGAGATCGCCGTATTTGCGGAACGCCATAAGACAAAACGCCGAAAAGTGGGGCCCTACTGTATAGCTATTATAATGTACAATGCCGCATCATAAATATATTTTATTAATATATATATAGGACTTGAGTCCTGGAAATGGGAAGTAGAATGCCTGCACTTTAAAGGAGGGGTTTGGGATATTGGCAGTTTGGAGGGATATGTTGTGTATCTCTATACGTATATGCTTCTAAACTGTTGTATTCTGAGCACCTCTGCAAAAGCAGTGATAATGTGTGTGTGTGGTGAAAGTGTTGAATGATGATGAAAGTATTTTCTTTGGGATTTTTTTCTTTTTTGGGTCACCCTGCCTCGGTGGGAGACGACCGACTTGTTGAAAAAAAAAAAAAAAAAAATATATAGTTCATCTAGGTAGTAGGTTGGTAGACAGCAACCGCCCAGGGAGGTACTACCGTCCTGCCAAGCGAGTGTAAAACGAAAGCCTGTAATTGTTTTACATGATGGTAGGATTGCTGGTGTCCTTTTTTCTGTCTCATAAACATGCAAGATTTCAGGTATGTCTTGCTACTTCTACTTGCACTTAGGTCACACTACACATACATGTACAAGCATATATATACATACACCCCTCTAGGTTTTCTGCTATTTTCTTTCTAGTTCTTGTTCTTGTTTATTTCCTCTTATCTCCATGGGGAAGTGGAACAGAATTCTTCCTCCGTAAGCCATGCGTGTTGTAAGAGGCGACTAAAATGCCGGGAGCAAGGGGCTAGTAACCCCTTCTCCTGTATAAATTACTAAATTTAAAAAGAGAAACTTTTGTTTTTCTTTTTGGGCCACCCTGCCTCGGTGGGATACAGCCAGTTTGTTGAAAAAATATATACATTTCAGAGGCATTCTACAAATATATAAAAATTATAAAAAAATGTATTTAAACAATAATAGTTTTTTTAATGAAAGACTTTTCAAGTGTACCCCCTCTCTCTTTTTTGGAACAAATTTGATTATTTCCCATTACCTAGGTGCTTTATAATCCCTATGAATATAAAAATAATATTTGTCCATACAGAAATCAACCCTATGCACATAACTTACCATCGTTATATACTTCTGTGTTTTTAAGATGTTCTGCCAATTCAAGTTTTGTTTTCCATGGGTACAGAAGTTTGAAAACATGACCTTTAGCAGTATCCTTTATATCCTGAAATAAATTATGGAAAACTAAAACATTATATTGCAGGTGATTACAATTAATCTTTGAGATTTTTGCTATTGTGCCAAAAGACATGCAAATTACTGACATTTTGCAAAGGGTAAAAATAGAACCAAGAACCAAAAAAACTTGAGAAACAATAAAATGGCACTCAAACTTAAGGCACTTGATAATGAATTCTTAATGTACTGTATAATACAATACACAGAATGAAAATTAGTTTTTAAATAAATGTACCTGAAGAATCATGACAAACATCACAATGTCACAACAAAGACTGACATGCTAATTATTACAGAGCTATTTAAGTACGACATATTTGTTGAAAAAAAAAAAAATACAGTATTATATACAGTACTTGCTTCTATAATTTTGCTCAGTTATCTTAGCATATCAGGGTCAGAAACTTTCCAAAACATTGCAAATCTTGTTACTTCGAAAGACTGAAGGTACTGCTGTATATAGGCCATATTGTGGATGCATAGACAAAAATAGTACAAACTTCCCTTACACCATCCCCCATCATGGGACTCAATATATCAAGTACAGTGGACCCCCACCTTACGAACGCATCGCGTTACGTTAAATCCACCATACGAAGCATTTGAACGTAAAATTTTTTACCTCGCCTCACGATAAAAAACTCGCCTTACGTGATTCGTCCGGGACGCGTCCCACGTGTGGCCTCAGCGCCAGTGTTTACAAGCCAGCCAGTGCGGTCGCATCTACGCATACATTCGGTACATTTCACATTATCCCAGTGTTTTTAGTGCTTGTAACTGCAAAATAAGTCACCATGGACCCCAAGAAAGCTTCTAGTGCCATCCCTGTGGTAAAAAGGGCGAGAATTAGTATGGAATTAAAAAAGAGAGATTAAGGAAATGTGTGCAAAGTGGGTTGAACTGCAAACCTTTACGGATGAAAATCACCCTGACACAGCTACTGCAAGCCGTGTTGGCAACCTGTACAATGACAATGTTATGGCCCATTTTAGGAAAGTCTTAAAGGAACGGGAGGTACAGAGCTCTATGGACAGATTTTTGTGCAACAGAGGTCCAGTGACTCTCAAGCTGGTCCTAGTGGCATTAAAAGAAGGGAAGTAACCCCAGAAAAGGACTTGCTACCTCAAGTCTTAATGGAAGGTGATTCCCCTTCTAAACAATAACTTCTACACTCTCCCCTCCTCCCATCTCATCAATCATCACTAGATCTTCAATAAAGGTAAGTGTCATGTATTCTATTTTTAGTAGAGTAGTAACTGTGCATGTCTTCTTCAGTTTGTGTGTATTAAAATTAATATTTCATGTGGTAAATTTTTTTTTTTTTTTTATACTTTGGGGTGTCAGGAACAGATTAATTTGATTTCATTATTTCTTATGGGGAAAATTATTTCGGCTAATGATAATTTTGGCTTACGATGAGCTCTCAGGAATGGATTAATATCGTAAGGCGGGGGTCCACTGTACAGTGGATCCTCAGCTAACGATGCCATTGGATAGCGATAAAATCGAATAGCGACGCGTTTTTGCGTAAAAATATTGGCTCAGCTAACGATGAAAAAATCAGTTAAGGACATTCGTCCAGAACGTGTCCACGTGGCCGCCCGGCCACTATGTATAGCCAGTGTGCCATTGTTTACAAGCCAGGGTGGACAATTCCACGTATGTACATGCGATACATTTTGTATTATCCCAGTGTGTTTAGTGCTTTTAACTGCTAAATAAGCCACCATGGGCCGAAAGAAAGCTTCTAGTGCCAACCGTGGTAAAAAGGGTGAAAAATACTATCGAATTAATTGCAAAAGTGGAGTGTGTGCTTCCAGAAGTGGCCAGGTTGTATAACAAACCCCAATCAACCATCGCTACTATCTTGGGCAACAGAAAAGAAATCAAGGAAGCTATTGTTGCGAAAGGTGAAAATGTGCTTACAAAACAGAGATCGCAAATACTCGAAGATGTGGAGAGACTGTTATTGGTGTGGATCAATGACAAACAATTATCAGGAGATAGTGTTTCACAGTCAATCATATGTGAAAAGTCAAGGCAGTCAGTTGCATGATGATTTAATTAAGAAAATATCTGGAACAAGTGCTGATGTTGGTGAATTTAAGGCCAGCAAAGGTTGGTTTGAGAGATTTAAGAATCATAGTGGCATACACAGTGTGATAAGGCATGGTGAGGCTGCCAGTTCTGACAAAAAAGCAGCTGAAAAATATGTGCAGGACTTTATGGGGGACATAGAGGCTGAAAAATTAAAACTCCAACAAGTGTTTAATTGTGACGAAATAGGTCTGTTTTGGAAAAAATGCCAAACAGGACCTACATTACTCAGGAGGAAAAGGCACTCCTAGGACACAAGCCCATGAAAGACAGGCTAACTCTCATGTTTTGTAGTAATGCTAGTGGGGATCGCAAAGTGAAGCCTTTACTCGCGTATCACTCTGAAACTCCCAGAGTCTTCAAGAAAAACAGTGTCGTCAAGGCTAATTTGTGTGTGATGAGGAGGGCAAATAGTAAGGCATGGGTCACTAGGGACATTTTCCACGATTGGTTCTACAGTGGACCCCCGGTTAACGAACTTTTTTCATTCCAGTAGTATGTTCAGGTGCCAGTACTGACCGAATTTTTTCCCATAAGGAATATTGTGAAGTAGATTAGTCCATTTCAGACCCCCAAACATACACGTACAAACGCACTTACATGACGGAAGGGTTAGACTCAGAAGTGTCCCTGTTTGCAGATGATGTGAAGTTAATGAGGAGAATTAAATCTGATGAGGACCAGGCAGGACTTCAAAGAGACCTGGACAGACTGGACACCTGGTCCAGCAAATGGCTTCTCGAATTTAATCCTGCCAAATGCAAAGTCATGAAGATAGGGAAGGGCACAGAAGACCGCAGACATGATAAGGCTAGTGGACAAAGACTGCAAACCTCACTCAAGGAGAAAGATCTTGGGGTGAGTATAACACCGAGCATGTCTCCGGAAGCACACATCAATCAGATATACTGCGCAGCATATGGGGCCTGGCAAACCTGAGAACAGCATTCCGATACCTTAGCAAGAATCATTCAAGACACTGTACACCGTGAATGTCAGGCCCAACTGGAGTATGCAGCACCTGTTTGGAACCCGCACTGATAAAGCACGTCAAGAAACTAGAGAAAGTACAAAGGTTTGCAACAAGGTTAGTTCCAGAGCTAAGGGGAATGTCCTATGAAGAAGATTAAGGGAAATCGGCCTGACCACACGGAGGACAGAGGGTCAGGGGAGACATGATAACGACATATAAAATACTGCGTGGAATAGACAAGGTGGACAAGACAGATGTCCAGGGAGGGGACACAGAACAAGAGGCCACAATTGGAAGTATGAAGACCAAATGAGTCAGAGAGATAGTAGGAAGTATTTCTTCAGTCATAGAGTTGTAAGGCAGTGGAATAGCCTAGAAAATGACGTAGTGGAGGCAGGAACCATACACAGTTTTAAGACGAGGTTTGATAAAGCTCATGGAGCGGGGAGAGAGAGGGCCTAGTAGCAACCGGTGAAGAGGCGGGGCCAGGAGCTAGGACTCGACCCCTGCAACCACAAATAGGTGAGTACAAATAGGTGAGTACACTTACATAATTGGTCGCATTTGGAGGTGATCGTTAAGCGGGGGTCCACTGTATCATGTGTTTGGCCCCAGTGTGAAAAAATACCTCCTGGAAAATAAATTGGGCCTCAAGTGCCTCTTAGTATTAGACAATGCTCCTGCTCATCCTCCAGACTTGCAAGAGCGAATTGTGGGGGTGTTGAGTTTCATAAAAGTGAAAATTTTGCCTCCTAACACCACTCCTCTCCTCCAGCCCATGGACCAGCAGGTCATTTCAAATTTCAAAAAACTGTACACCAAAGCAGTGTTTCAAAAGTGCTTTGAAGTGACCTCAGACACTGAACTGACCCTAAGAGAGTTCTGGAAAGATCACTTCAGTATCCTCAGTTGCATAAACCTTAAAGGTAAGGCTTGCAAGGGAGTGACTTGCAGGACTTTGAACTCTGCCTTGAGAAAACTGTGGCCAGAATGTGTACAAGAGAGGTATTTTGAAGGGCTTGGGGCTAACCCTGAGGAGCCTATACCAGTTGTGGAATCTATTGTGTCATTGGGAAAGTCCATGGGGTTGGCGGTTAGTGGCAAGGATGTGGAAGAGTTGGTGGAGGACGACGATGAAGAGCTAACCACTTATGAGCTGCAAGAGCATCTGCAACAGCAACAGACCACAGCTGAGGATATTGCTTAAGAGGAGGGGGGAGAGAGATGGAGGAAGTTGCCTTCTTCAATGATTAAGGAAATTTGTACACTGTGGACAAAGGTGCAAGTCTTTATGGATAAACATCACCCTGACACAGTTATTGCAAGCCATGCTGGTGACTTTTACAATGACAATGTTGTGTCCCATTTCAGGGAAATCTTAAAGACATGCCAGAAACAGAGCATAGATCTATGGACAGATTTTTGGCGAGACAGAGGTCCAGTGACTGTCAAGTTGGTCCCAGTGGCATTAAAAAAAAATAAAGAAGGGAAGTAACCCCAGAAAAGGACTTGCTACCTAAAGTCCTTATGAAAGGGGATTCCCTTTCCAAACAATAATACACCTTCATCATCTCCCCTCCTCCCGTCTCATCACTCATCAGTAAGTCTTCAATAAAGGTAAGTGTCATTTTATGAATTATTACTGTATTTATTCTTCATGTCTCATTGTTTTCTGTGTAGGAAAATGTATATTTCATGTGAAAAAATTTTGTTAATACTTTTGGGTGTCTGGAACAGATTAATTGGATTTCCATTATTTCTTATGGGAAAATTAAATTGGATAACGATAAAATCGGTTAAAGACAAGCTCTCTGGAACGGATTAAAATCGTTAACTGAGAGTCCACTGTACTAATTATATACTACTAAGGGTGCAAGGGGTGATGCCGGCATATACACAGTACAATAACCATTAGAGCACTTAGATTAGTAAATATCTGCCATAAAACTTGACAGCCAACTAATTAAGAAGGATTAACATTGATCCTCATGTTTCAGTAGTAGCCCAGCACTAAAGTGAGTTATCAACCAATGGGCCACTGTTCTGAGGGTCAGGCTCTAATTCCACCCGAGTTTCAAAGAACGATCTACAAGTTTTAATATGCAACACACAGGGCACTTGGTTAGTCTCAAAGAGATGTTTATCTCACTGGACTGGGAAGCCCCCCAAAAATTTCCCCATGGCATCTACAGATCTTGAAGAACCTTAAGAAAAATTGGCTGTCCACAGGGGTAAAGGTATGGAGATACTACTGTTCATCATCCTGTTGATCATTCTTATATTTCTTACATGATGATTAAACAATAAAATTACTCGGGCACCTGCCTGTAATAATCTTCTTTTTAATGCTCTCTTTTCTTTTCTGTTCAAGCCAAATTTTTTTGACGACTGCAACTGTTTTTCCTCCTTGGCAGAGCATTTAGATCTTGTCTTTGAGTCATGTTTCACAGCAGTTGCAAGTCTGCATGTAGGTATGCAACTATATTCCCATAGCAAGTGTGGTTTTATAACCCTTCCATAGTAGCACAACATCTCAGTTCTGCAAAAGAAATTGGAAATGCAAGATAATCTAAGCTTTAGTATGAAAGCAACATTATTCATACAATATTATAATAAGTCAACCAACATTATCATACTGCATTTTCCTGAAACTTCCAGGTTCAGAAAAAAAAAAAATACAAATTTATCTCTGGTTCTACGGCAATGAAAATAGCAAATTGAGTTTCGAGCTTGGTCATGGAACGAATTAAACTCATAAGTCAAGGTACCACTGTACATCCTGAAAATGGGAAAAAGTGAATTACTGTGTCAGTATCATAAAATCAATTTAAAAAGCTATTTATCTCAAAGTGAGATAAAGCTAGTTGTGCTTTGATCGTTTGGCTTTATTGGGTTATATTAGCGCTGACTTCCTCTATTCTATTTTTTACAATATACAGTACAATACTGCATAAACATTTAAAAATATACTAGAAATGTTATACAGTGGACCCTCGGTTATCAGCCATAATCCGTTCCAGAAGGTTGGCCTAAAACCGAAATAATATTTCCCATAAGAATTAATGTAAATAGTACAATTAATCTGTTCCAAACACCTAAAAATATTAACAAAAAATACACTTCTTAAAGATTAATTATAGTTTTGCATATACAAAACAATGAGAACTAAATAAAATAAATAAATGAACATTTAAATCACTATTACATACCTTTATTGAAGGCTCTTGTTGGCTTATGGAAGACAGGGAGGAAGAAAATGGGAGAACTGATTACTGTTTGAAAGGGGTATCCCCCCATAAGGACTTCAGGTATCACAGCCCTCTCTGGGGTTACTTCCTTCCCTGCCTGCTACACTCCCTGCATGCCTGCTACACTCCCTGCATGCCTGCTACACTCCCTGCATGCCTGCTACACTCCCTGCATGCCTGCCACTCCCTGCATGCCTGCCACACTCCCTGCATGCCTGCCACACTCCCTGCATGCCTGCTACACTCCCTGCACGCCTGCCACACTCCCTGCATACCTGCTACACTCCCTGCATACCTGCTACACTCCCTGCATACCTGTCACACTCCCTGCATACCTGCTACACTCCCTGCATACCTGCCACACTCCCTGCATACCTGCTACACTCCCTGCATGCCTGCTACACTCCCTGCATGCCTGCTACACTCCTTCCCTGCCTGCTACACTCCTTCCCTGCCTGCTGCACTCCCTGCATGCCTGCTACACTCCCTGCCTGCCTACTACACTCCCTGCCTCCCTGCTACACTCCCTACATGCCTGCTACACTCCCTACATGCCTGCTACATTCCCTACATGCCTGCTACACTCCCTACATGCCTGCTACACTCCCTGCCTGCAAAATGTTTGGGTGAATGAGCAGAAGCTTCTTCAAACGCCCAGAGACACAGCCAGACTGACTCACGAGACGTGCGAGTGGCTGTGGCTGCTGGGTGGACGGGTACGATACGGCTGATAAGCAAAATAATGGCTGATAACTGGAAGCCGAAAAACCGGCCAACAACAGAGTTGGCCGATAAGCGGAATGGTCGATAACTTGAGAGTCCACTATAAATGGTGCAAAGGTGACATTAAAACAATATCCAAGAGGGTTGACACAAACTCACTACCATTATAATATGCTCCTCACTTACCAACATGTTCTTAGGAACAGAACTCCATCGTTAAGTGAGGAGAGGCTGTATACAGGTGCTCCTCGACGTATGATGGTGCAAAATCAATTTCTGTACATAGTTTGGAGATGAAACTAAAGATAATTACCCAGCATGAAGGTGGGAAGTCTGCAACTTGTATTAATTTATTTACCTTTCAATACTGGTATATTTAGTTACAGTAATTATTTGTTTAAATGCTTATTCAGTTGCAGTAGTTATTTATTTATTTAGCATTTCATATTCACATTCGACTTATGATGGATTTGTTGGGACATAACCTCATTGTAAGTCAAGGAGCACCTACATTTTTATACTTAAGAAAATGATGTTTAGCAAACAATACTAAATTGGGGTTTATGTGGTCAAATCCATCTACAACTTTTAGTTATAAAAATAAATCATTTGTCATGTTTATCCATGACTGATATTTATTCACTATGGAACATATATCAATACATATACTAATTCATCTAAAACATAGTATATACTTTATAACAAACTTATCATATACAGGATCATCCTATTTTCATAGTAGATGATAGCACCACTAGATAATCTACACATATGCTGCTATGTATGATAATCTACATAACTGTATGTGTACCTGTATCTGAATAAGCTTATTTACATACAGAGGCTATGAAAATAAAGACTACCACTATTGACAGTGAAAAAAAATGACAATGACAACCTAACTAAGCAACCAGCCCTCACATGCCTAACCTAAGCCAATTTAGGCATTACCAAATTTAGAGAGTATAGTGTATTTGCCCTGGAAACTTTATAAGTGGTGCCACTGTAGATTTATTATTGATTAGGTCAGGCTATTTTAGATTTAGTTAGGTCAGGGTAAGTTAGGTTACATTAGATTATGTTAAATCACAATGAGTTAGACTGGTTACTTGAGGTTATACTATTTCCTATTTGTACAAAATGAAACTCTCTCTATTGCCCAACTCGCTTAATACTGGTCAATTTAAATTACAGTATTAATTAAAATATATATTATGATCATAACTAAGTGCTAAACCCATAAGGGTTTATGTGTACCTGTACCTAAATAACCTTAATTAGGATGTGGAACAAGAAATGAATAAATAATGATAAATATAAGAACCTCATTAGACATAATAATAATCTTTATTTCTACATGATACAACTTATACAGACCTAAATGACACCAGTGACATATTATATGGAAAGCCCCTGGTTATTACCTGGAGTTTACCTGGAGAGAGTTCTGGGGGTCAACACCCCCGCGGCCCGGTCTGTGACCAGGCCTCCTGGTGGATCAGAGCCTGATCAACCAGGGTGTTACTGCTGGCTGCACGCAAACCAACGTACGAGCCACAGCCCGGCTGGTCAGGAACCGACTTTAGTTGCTTGTCCAGTGCCAGCTTGAAGACTGCCAGGGGTCTGTTGGTAATCCCCCTTATGTATGCTGGGAGGCAGTTGAACAGTCTCGGGCCCCTGACACTTATTGTATGGTCTCTTAACGTGCTAGTGACACCCCTACTTTTCATTGGGGGGAATGTTGCATCGTCTGCCGAGTCTTTTGCTTTCGTAGTGAGTGATTTTCGTGTGCAAGTTCGGTACTAGTCCCTCTAGGATTTTCCAGGTGTATATAATCATGTATCTCTCCTGCCTGCATTCCAGGGAATACAGGTTTAGGAACCTCAAGTGCTCCCAGTAATTGAGGTGTTTTATCTCCGTTATGCGCACCGTGAAGGTTCTCTGTACATTTTCTAGGTCAGCAATTTCACCTGCCTTGAAAGGTGCTGTTAGTGTGCAGCAATATTCCAGCCTAGATAGAACAAGTGACCTGAAGAGTGTCATCATGGGCTTGGCCTCCCTAGTTTTGAAGGTTCTCATTATCCATCCTGTCATTTTTCTAGCAGATGCAATTGATACAATGTTATGGTCCTTGAAGGTGAGATCCTCCGACATGATCACTCCCAGGTCTTTGACGTTGGTGTTTCGCTCTGTTTTGTGGCCAGAATTTGTTTTGTACTCTGATGAAGATTTAATTTCCTCGTGTTTACCATATCTGAGTAATTGAAATTTCTCATCGTTGAACTTCATATTGTTTTCTGCAGCCCACTGAAAGATTTGGTTGATGTCCGCCTGGAGCCTTGCAGTGTCTGCAATGGAAGACACTGTCATGCAGATTTGGGTGTCATCTGCAAAGGAAGACACGGTGTTGTGGCTGACATCCTTGTCTATGTCGGATATGAGGATGAGGAACAAGATGGGAGCGAGTACTGTGCCTTGTGGAACAGAGCTTTTCACCATAGCTGCCTCAGACTTTACTTTGTTGACGACTACTCTCTGTGTTCTGTTAGTGAGGAAATTATAGATCCATCGACCGACTTTTCCTGTTATTCCTTTAGCACGCATTTTGTGCGCTATTATGCCATGGTCACACTTGTCGAAGGCTTTTGCAAAGTCTGTATATATTACATCTGCATTCTTTTTGTCTTCTAGTGCATCTAGGACCTTGTCGTAGTGATCCAATAGTTGAGACAGACAGGAGCGACCTGTTCTAAACCCATGTTGCCCTGGGTTGTGTAACTGATGGGTTTCTAGATGGGTGGTGATCTTGCTTCTTAGGACCCTTTCAAAGATTTTTATGATATGGGATGTTAGTGCTATTGGTCTGTAGTTCTTTTCTGTTGCTTTACTGCCCTCTTTGTGGAGTGGGGCTATGTCTGTTGTTTTTAGTAACTGTGGGACGACCCCCGTGTCCATGCTCCCTCCATAGGATGGAAAAGGCTCGTGATAGGGGCTTCTTGCAGTTCTTGATGAACACGGAGTTCCATGAGTCTGGCCCTGGGGCAGAGTGCATGGGCATGTCATTTATCGCCTGTTCGAAGTCATTTGGCGTCAGGATAACATCGGATAGGCTTGTGTTAACCAAATTCTGTGGCTCTCTCATAAAAAATTCATTTTGATCTTCGACTCTCAGTCTGGTTAGCGGCTTGCTAAAAACTGAGTCATACTGGGACTTGAGTAGCTCTCATTTCCTTGCTGTCATCTGTGTAGGACCCATCTTGTTTAAGTAGGGGCCCAATACTGGACATTGTTCTTGACTTTGATTTGGCATAGGAGAAGAAATACTTTGGGTTTCTTTCGATTTCATTTATGGCTTTTAGTTCTTCCCGCGATTCCTGACTCTATAAGATTCCTTTAGCTTAAGTTCGATGCTTGCTATTTCTCTGACCAGTGTCTCTCTACGCATTTCAGATATACAGTGGACCCCCGGTTAACGAACTTTTTTCATTCCAGTAGTATGTTCAGGTGCCAGTACTGACCGAATTTTTTCCCATAAGGAATATTGTGAAGTAGATTAG